ATTTGTGGTTGCCAAAATCTGGGTTGAGATTATGAAATGATTGTTAATAGGGATATGGTTTCTTTTTGGGGTGATACATAGTAGTGATCAAAATTAGATTATAGTTTCTTTTGCTAAGAAGAAGCTTTTTAGTTTAAATCCATCCCATTTATTGATTCTTGGTTTTAATTCTTGTGCTACAGGAGTCCTTTTTAAAAATATTTTTATTAGTTGTTGATGGACCTTTATTTTATTTTATTATTTATTTATTTATTTATTTATTTATATGCAGTGCTGAGAATCAAACCCAGTGCCACATACATGCTAGGCAAGCGCTCTACCACTGAGCCCAAACCCAGCCCCTATAGGAGTCTTATTAAGGAAGTTGGGGCCTAATCCGACATGATGGAAATTTGGGCCTACTTTTTCCTCCATTAAGTGCAAGGTCTCTGGTTTGATTCCTAGGTGTTTGATCCACTTTGAGTTGATTTTGTGCATGGTGAGAGACGAGGGTTTCATTTCATTTTGTTACATGTGGATTTCCAGTTTTCCCAGTACCATTTGTTGAAGAGGCTATCTTTTCTCCAGTGTATGTTTTTGGCACCTTTGTCTAATATAAGATAACTATAGTTATGTGAGTTAGACTCTATGTCCTCTATTCTATACCATTGGTCTACAGGTCTATCTTGGTGCCAATACCATGCATGTTTTTGTTACTATTGCTCTATAGTATAGTTTAAAGTCTAGAATAGTAATGCCACCAGCTTCACTCTTCCTGCTAAGGTTTGCTTTGGCTATTCTGGGTCTCTTATTTTTCCAGATAAATTTCATGATTGCTTTTTCTATTTCCGTAAGGAATGTCATTGGGATTTTGATTGGGATTGCATTGAATCTGTATAGAGCTTTTGGTAGTATGGTCATTTTGACAATATTAATTCTGCCTATCCAAGAACAAGAGAGATCTTTCCATCTTCTAAGGTCTTCTTTAATTTCTTTCTTTAGCATGCTGTAGTTTTCATTGTAGAGGTCTTTCACCTCTTTCATTAAGTTATTCCCAAGTTTGTTTGTTTGTTTGTCGGTTGGTTGGTTTTTTGAGGCTATTGTAAATGGGGTGGTTTTCCTAGTTTCTCTTTCAGAGGATTTGTCACTGATGAACAGAAATGACTTTGATTTATGGTTGTTGATTTTATATCCAGCTACTTTGCTGAATTCATTTATTAGTTCTAGGAGATTTCTGGTGGAATGTTTTGGGTCTTTATTAGGTAGAGAATCATATTGTCTGCAAATAGTGATAATTTGAGTTCTTCTTTTCCTATCTGTGTCCCTTTTATTTCTTTTGTCTGTCTGATTGCTCTGGCTAGAGGTTCAACAACGATGTTAAATAGAAGTGGTGAAAGAGGGCATTCATGTCCTGTTCCAGATTTTAGAGGGAATGCTTTCAAATTTTCTCCATTTAGAATGATATTGGCCTGAGGCTTAGCATAGATAGCTTTCACAATGTGGAGGGATATTCCTGTTATCCCTAGTTTTTCTAGCATTTTGAACATGAAGGGGTGCTGTATTTTGTCAAATGCTTTCTCTGCGTGTATTGAGATGATCATATGTTTTTTTTATCTTTGAATCTATTCATGTGATGAATTACATTTATGTTGAACCAACCCTGCATCCCTGAGATGAACACTACTTGATCATGGTGCACTATCTTTTTGATGTTTTTGTATTTGATTTGCCAGAATTTGATTGAGAATTTTTGTATCTGTGTTCATTAAAGAGATTGGTCTGGAGTTTTCTTTCTTTGATGAGTCTTTGTCTGGTTTTGGAATCAGGATGATATTGGCCTCATAGAATATGTTTGGAAGTGTTCCCTCTTTTTCTATTTCATGAAATAGTTTGAGAAGTATTGATGTTAGTTCTTCTTTAAAGGTGTTGTTGAATTTAGCTGTGTATTTATCCGGTTCTGAGCTTTTCTTGGTTGGTAGGCTTCTGATGGCATTCTCTATTCCGTGCTTGAAATCGATCTGTTTAAATCATGTATATCATCCTGATTTAGTTTGGGCATATCATATGCCTCTAAAATTTGTTGATGCCTTCAATATTTTCTACTTTATTGGAGTACAAATTTTCAAAATAATTAACCATCAGTGAAGGGAATAGAGAGTTTACAGAATGGGAGCAAATCTTTCCCACTAGGACATCAGATAGAACACTAATCTCTAGGATATATAAAGCACCCCAAAACCTTAAAACCGAAAAAACAAATAAGCCAATCAAAAATGAGCCAAGAAACTGAACAGACACTTCTCAGAAGAGGATATACAATCAATAAACATGAAAAAATGTTCAACATCTCTAGCAATTAGAGAAATGCAAATCAAAACTACTCTAAGATTTCATCTCACTCCAGTCAGAATGGCAGCTATCAAGAGTACAAACAACCATAAGTGTTGGTGAGGGTGTGGGGAACAAGGCACACTCATACATTGCTGGTGGGACTGCAATTGGTGCAGCCAATCTGGAAAGCAGTATAGAAATTTCTTGGAAAACTTGGAATGGAACCACCATTTGACCTGGCTATCTCACTCCTCAGGATATACCCAAAGGACTTAAAAACAGCATACTAAGGGACACAGCTACATCAGTGTTTATAGCAGTACAATTCATAATAGGTACATTGTGGAACCAACCTAGATGCCCTTCAGTAGTTAGGAAAACTTTGCTATATATACACAGTGGAACATTATTTAGCATTAAAAGAGAATAAAATCATGGCATTTGCAGGTAAATGGGTAAAGTTGGAGAATATAATGCCAAGTGAAGTAAGCCAATCCCAAAAAACCATGGCCAAATGTTTTCTTTGATATGAGGATGCTGACTCATAATGGCAATGATGGGGGGCAAGGGAGGATGGAGGAACTTTAGATAGAGCAAAAGGGAGGGAAGGGAAGAGAGGGGGGGAAAGGGGTAGGAATGATGGTGGAATGAGGCATCATTACCCTAAGTACCGGTGTATGAAGACATGAATAGTGTGAAAATACTTTGTGTTACAATCAGTGACTTGAAAAATTGTGCTCTATATATTTAATGTGAAATGAATTGCATTCTGCCATTGCATATAACAAATTAGAATAAATAAATAATTTAATTTAAAGAAAGATGATTTAAAAAGCCTAAAAACACCTACATAGTGTTCGTGGATTTAAGTGAGACTTTAATTTCTTCTGGTGGTTTAACCATGATTATGTGGGACCTGAATAGTGAGAAAATGACCATGCCCAGTTATCAGCATCAGTGGTGTATTGATACCAGGTAGGTGAATGATCCTAGTTTGGAAGGAGGAAAAACAAAGTGTTTGACTCCCTTGAATGTTAAAGTCTAATTGGAGAAACATTGTATATGTGCATAAAATGTCATATAACACATGATAATTTAAAATTACCTAAAAATGACAATAAATGATACAAATTCAGCTGCCTGAGAATGTTAGGACTGAGGTATTTGACGACAGTCATAGGAATAACACTTCTGGAGAGCTCACTGTGTGGCTCATACTTTTAAGCACCTGATTTGTATCATCTCTTCACCTTTCTCAAAACAGGTACAAGAACTGAGTCATGCAGATATGTTTCCAGGTCCCTTGTTTGAACACTGGTTGAGCTTTGAGATACCACTGAAATTTTGGAACATGCAGATTCCTGGGTCACACCCCCTTCTAATTCTGATTTCATTGGCCCATCTGAGGACCTGCCCTTGGAGTCTCTGGATGATTACAGTGAGCATGCAGCCCAGGTTCAGGACTGTCTTACTCAGGGCTTTAGGGTCCCCTCATCACAAGGGGTGATTGGCCCTAAGATAATCACATATGTCTCATTTCTAGAAGTGATTGAAACAGGACAGCCACTAACCTCAGAGGTACCGTGGTTGACGATAGTTGTTACCATTTTTCCAGAGCCCCTTCTGTGCCACAGGATAGATTCACAAAGTGACATTGCCTAGCAATGGGCTGCACTGTTGGAGAGAATGAGTGTAGAAACGCAGGTGCATGCACATCCTTGGAGGATCATTTGGATAGTGGAATTTTATTGGTGACTTTTAGGAAGCTAAAATTATTCATCGTATCTGCCCAAATTTGGGACACTAATTTTATTTTTATGTAAATTTATATATGACAGCAGAATGCATTATAATTCTTATTACATATATAGAACACAATTTTTCATATCTCTGGTTGTATACACAATATATTCACACCAGTTCATGTCTTCATACCTGTACTTTGGATAATAATTATCATCACATTACACCATCATTAATTTACCCATGCCCCCTCCTTTCTCCTCCAACCCCTCTGCCCTATCTAGAGTTCGTCTATTCCTCCCATGCTCTCTCTCCCTATCCCACTATGAATCAGCCTCCTTATATCAAAGAAAACATTTGGCATTTGTTTTTTTGGGGATTGGCTAACTTCACTTAGCATTATCTTCTCTAACTCCATCCACTTACTTGCAAATGCCATGATTTTATTCTTTTTTATTGCTGAGTATATTATTCCATTGTGTATATATGCCACATTTTTTTTATCCATTTATCTATTAATATTAAGGGCATCTAGGTTGGTTCCACAGTTTAGCTATTGTGAATTGTGCTGCAATAAACATTGATGTGGCTGGGGGACACTAATTTTATTTTTTACATTCATGCTACCTGTCCTCAAAGCTCCATTTTTTTTCTGATTTAATGACTTGGGGGAAGCTGTTATCAATTCACTGTGGATAAATAGCACATGTGTTTGATTGATATTCATATCTGTTCCCTCTTCTTCACTCTTATACATTCTTATAATACCTCAACCATTAGGCTAAACGCAGTTTATACTTTTGTTCCTAGAGCTTTGGTTTCTTCATTTCCCATTGATTTCAAATTATTACCTGTGCTTCAGTGATTTACTGTACCCCCATCCTTCCTGATCACTTTATAATTTCTCCCTCTTAATAGTTAGTTGCCAGTTTGTCGTTTTCTTTCAGGATTCTCTTCCTCTTCTCTTACTTCCTCTTTGGAGCACCCTCCCACCTTTTCGAGGTAGACAGTGTGTTAGTGTTCTGATTTTGTGATCACTCTTCCACTGTTCCATAACAGGTTGCTACAGCCTCACCTCTTCACCTCCTCTCCCTGCATGTCCTTTTGTAGTCACCAAGGATCTCAGATTTTAGTCCTTTGGGAACAGAGAAATAGTATCACAATGCTGCATTCTTTTCTTGTTTGTCTGGGAGACAGCATAACCACCTAAGGACCTTAGAAATTGACAATGTTTGAGGATGTTAATTAAATAGCATTTCATTCATATCCCTCACTTTATAGAATGAAATGCGAAACCTAAGCTACTTTTGCAAAGTGGAGGTAAGTTTGTATTTATGAAGACTATTTAGAATATCGTCTATAACAAAAGCTTTTGAACATTATAATTAGGAGACTTTGCTGGTGCTGAAGGTTATGTGTATGGCAGTGTTAGTTCAGGTAGGCCAACTACTGGAATAAGAAAGGAAGGCTGCAGCATGTCCCTGGCATAGTACACAGTGGAGGATACCCCTTACATACAGTTCAGTATGTCATCAGGGCAGGGTTGGTGCATTGGTCCGCCAAATATCATTAAGGAACCCAGACTGCTGGCAACTGTGCTATCTTTAGTTTGTTCCAAGGTGTTCTGGGGAATCAGTATGTAGCAATATTTAGCAACACACAAAGGATAGCTTATGAGCTGCTTTATGGGTAAGGACAAGAAGTGGGAAATGTCATTTCTGCTCATACACCACTGACTAGAACTCATTGACTTGCCAATAGTAATTACAAAGGCAGTTAGGCACTGTGGTCCACTGCATGCCTGGAAAGAAGAGGAAACTCATTTGGGGATCTGTCCCTGCCATTGAAGGTACTTTTCAAAATGTTTAAAATGCAAGAGAAACCCAGTGGTTTGAGCATTTAACTGACCCAATTGATTTCCTTTCTACATGAAAGGGATTGTAAGGTCAAGGAAACACTGATAGTTTGTTGGGTGAACTCAACTACTATGTATAACTATAAAGCTGTAATAAAATAAATAGGTAAATAATGACTAGAAATGGTTAAATTTGAGTTATATATGCATAAAAAGAAAACTGGTCAGTAGTGTGTTAATGGGTTTAATAGCAACATGTATTTAGTCATCTGAATACGCTTACACAGATGGACCATCCCTTATCTGAAATGTTTATGACCAGAAGTGTTTGGGGATTTCAGATTTTTAAAAATATTGGAATGTTTGCAATTACATCTTGGGGATAGAATCCAAATCTAAGCCCAATTCATTTATATTTCATAAACACCTCATACATACACATGGCCTGAAGGTTTCCATTATACAGTATTTTTAGGGCAATTGCATTTTAACTGCAACTCTTACTTGAGGTCAAGTGTGGAATTTTCCATGGTGGCATCATGTTGGCACTCAAAATTTTGGAGGGGTTTTGAGTCATTTCTATGTTTTGAAATAGGGATATTCAACCTGTAGTTCATCTTTATTTTAAAAATGTTTTTAAACGTTTAATAGAAACTTGCATCCTACTGTGACAAGTGTTATAGAACTATTTCAACTGATTCGAAGCCATCCTAGGTAATTCATACATAAAGACTCTGTAGTCTATGCAGTAATTCACAGATGCTTAACTGTAATGGTGAACAAAGCCAAAATAGTTATAAGCACTATAAAAAACAAAAATTTAACACTGGGATAGTCCAGATAAACATAACCTTATATTAGAATTTTTAAAGAGTATTCCCCCCTAAAAAAACAGAAGACCTAAGGCACTGAGCAAGGCTGCTCTGTTATATTGCTGTGGACACTAAGATGGATGGGTCTAGAGATCCCATCTAACAGCATTTATGGTCTTAAATGTCTTTGTTCCTTAATTCCTACAACCATGTTTCTTAAACTTTATGGCTATATCCAACAATTTTTAAAGAACAGAAAAAAATGCTTACAATTCCTAATTCTCAGTTATTTTAATTATAATTTTATTTACATAGGAAATTCATTACCTGTCAATGTGTATATATTAAAAATTTATCTAAGTTTCTCATACTCATAGCTCTAAAACAAATTTATAAATTCAATTTATAAAATATAAGCAAAGATACAAAGTCAGTGCTGTTTAAATGAGCACAATTAGGGTTAGGATCAGGAAGACATTCTTGAAGGTGGCATTGGAGGTGTCTGTGAGAGTGACCAGGGTTAAGTTGCTGGGTAAATGGAGGTTGGAGGGTAGAGGAAGGCCCAGGCAAGGGACAAAAGTGAGGAGAGGACCCAGTTACATGAGACTGCAGCAAATATACAAAGAGTTGTTCCTTTGGGCTCTAGTGTAAGGGTAGGGATGTGAGGTAGTGGACCTTTTGAAACTAAATCATGGGACCTGGATTATTGGTTCAAGAAATGAATGGGTACCATTGATGGCATATGAGCAGAATAGGATACTGTATTTTTAAAAGATATATCTGTAGCAATATTTAAATACATTAGAAAAATGAAAAAAAAGCAAGATGGAAAATCCAAGAGGCTGGCTTTGTGAGCGCAGGCACTTGGTTTACTAATTCCCTGGTCCTAGAACACAGTTGGTCCTCAATAATTGTGTGTTGAACTAATGTATGCTGCCTAATAATGAATGGCAGGAAGATATCTGTTGAAATGTCTAGAAAACAAAGTCCAAAATAGGCACTTGGAATAGAAATTAGCAATTGCTAGTGTGGATTGGGGAGTTATCTATATCGAAGTGAACCCTTGAGAAATGTATAAGATTGTAAAGGAGAACAGTATTAAATATTAAATATATTGTGGTCAAGTACAAATATGTAACAGCAAATCCCACTATTATGTGTAATTATAATGCATCAATAAATTAAAAAAAAAAAAGATTGTAAAGGGGAGAGACAGGGAATAGGCCAAGGGTGGATCCTTATCTACTGTTGTGATTGATGTTAAGGGGAAACACAGAAATGGTAACAAGGGAAGGAAAGGTGACTCGGGAGGAGATATTGGCCCAGAAGCCAAAAGACAGAAGGGAAATATCCATGGCCCATTTGGCCTGTCTAGCTTATAAAGACTTATTTTGGATTTTGAAATTTAAACTTTTTTTTTTAAAGCAGACTTTGACAGTTACCCTTGCATCAATAATTATTTTAAGAGGTATGTATGATTTACTGTTGAGGGCTACAAGGTCAAACCAAGCAAACAAAATAGATCCCAGAAATATGCTAAATGTGGGGAAATTTCAGTTTTGTGTTTACATATTTTGGAATTTGACACACAGTTCTTTTAGACTTCTTGTTACTACATCATTGAGCTAAATATATAAATCTTAGTACGTTATACATAGTAGTTAAGCGACAGGATAATTATATCACAATTTTTTTTTTTTTACTTTGTGAATTCATTTAATGTAGTGTCTCTATTAATGGCCCACCATAGGATATTTTAACTTATTAAGTTTTGTGTCTAGACAATTTTGGTGAAACTTATTTTGCCCAAAGCAGGTACACAGTTCAGTTGTTTAAAACAAACAAACAAACAAACAAACAAACAAAGAGGTAAGCTCAGATAGGCATTGGTTTCTTACTACTTTATGGCTTTGAAAGACATTCTGAATCATCTTGCTGGAGTGTTTACCACACCCGCAAGCAGTAGGATTTAACATTAAATTTTCATTTTGATTAACTTGACTGCAGTCGTTTCTTGGCTGCCTCTTTAGAGCCCACTGTGGAATAAAATTAAAACAGTTTTTATGATATAACAATTTAGTTGCAGAAAATGACATTCTTCTCTTTTCCCAGAATGGCTGTGTGTGCTATCCCTGAGTTTCCTGCATCTGTCCCATGGCTCTGGTTTCTCCCCCACTCCCATCCATCTTTTATAATACCACCAGATTAATTTTCTTAAGCAGAGATTGGGTCATTCCCTTTTCCTTCAATGGCTCCCCATCGTCTCCTCTCATCTAAGCCCAGCTCATTCGTCAAAGAAGCAGCAGCCCAAATGCTGTATTTTCCCCTGAACATCTTCCTTCACCTCCTCTGCTGAAGTCCCTGTCTCCACGGTAGACTCTGTCCCTCTTGCATTGCATGGGTCACACCCTGCCTTACAGGAACACATCTCACCCATGAGAATGTGGAATTCTTGAATGCAAGAGCCACGTCTCCTTATTTATTTTTTTGTACACCCCACCATTGTCTGTTCATAGAAGAGTCTCAACAGATGTTTGCTAGGTCAATGAAAAGGGACTATTTTAAAATAACAAACATTCACACTGCCCCTTCTTATGCATGTGTGAGCCTCTCACCCTTCACCTTTTCCCCCAGCTTCTGATTAATTTGTAACGTAGTTATTCATTTTTGTCCTTGGGCATTGGCTGTCTCCTCCCTGTTGGGAGATAACTGGTGCTTCATTTTGTTCACGGATGTATCCCTGGTGCTCAGAACCCTGCTTGTCGTACTGGTTGAGTTTTAAGTAAAACTTCGAAGCTGAAAGTCAGCTTCCCCCTATTTCTTGGGTTTATTGTCCATGGTTTTCAATGTAAAGGACAGTGTGGTGTTGGAAGATCAGGGAGCAATGTAGGAAGACCTTCATGTTAGTTTCTGCTCTTTACTAGCTCTGCAGCTCTGAGCAAGTTGCTTAACTGCTCTGAAGGTAATTTCTTGTTTGAGGATCACACAACTTAAATTACATTGTTTACATGAGGATTAAATTTTAGGGGGAAAAAAAAAAGAAAAACACATGCAGTGCAGTTAATAGCTGACGTTTCTTGATCTTTCCTAGTTCGCCAGACATGTTACGACACATTTTCCATTTGTCTGTCACTGTATATTTTCACAGCCATTCTGTGAAGCAGAAGGGGGCTACCCCCATCTTATAGATGAAAAGAAGAAGGGTCCTGCACAGTGGTGGGTGGCACAGCATTGATAGCACCAACAGGTCTGCTGAACTCCAAATTTCATGCTCCTAAAGCCTCTGCCAATTGCGTGTGTGCCCCTCCTGGGCTGCTGGACTTTTCCTTTGGAGCAGGAGTTCTAGATCTTACCTCTTGCTGCTTTGCTGCCATAACATGCTTGAGGTTTGCAGAGGGTTTCTGAAAACCAGTGGCCCCCAAGGAGGAATTTATGAAAAAACCTGGTCCCCCCCAAAGCTTGAAGGGCAGGGAGTCTGGTTTGGAAACTGCCCCCTGATGAGTTATATCCTTCCCCACCTGCTATGCACTCCTGCCTCCAGTTTGTGGCCCGTCCTCCAAAATAAAGCTTTTAACTCTTGTTATTTTCTACTGCAAAGATATAGCCCTCCTGCATTAAGACTGTTGTAAGGATCATTGCATTATTGGTTTGGAAACAAATGAGATGGTTTATGGTTGAGATAACCAACTTGATCATTACTGTCCTTTCTATTGATTTGAAAAGTACTGAGTCTTCTAATTTTAGAGAGATCTGCAGATGCCACTTCAAAACACACTTATATCACTAATAACTCATAATTGTTATAATAAAGTTAACATAAAATATAAGAAAGGCTATTTTCTGTGTAAAGGAATTAGCCTTTTCAGATATTTTCATTACACATTTAAAAGAACCAACCCAGATTTAATGGGGTGGATTACGTCTCCATCTGAAAAGCATTTTTTTTTAATGTTTCATGGAATGGATTTCTCTTTTGCAATAGTTTGCTATCAGTTCAAAGGCTAAAAAGGTATTCCAGAAAATATTAAGATGAAAAATAATTTTGTTTGTGTGCTATAATGCTTCATTATGCTTAATTGATTGGGAGGTTTGGTAGAAGGCCAGAGAGAACTGGCAAACATATAAAATTTAAAAGGAAATATAGGCATTTCACTTCAAGTACTCTTTCAACAGAGGCATAAGTTCATTTCTGATAGCTTTATTATAGTGATTAAGAGCGTAAGTTTTGAAATCAATCTGGCTTTTTTTTTTCCTGATTAAATCTGAGTTTAGACGTGTTATCTAACGTTCTGACCCTTGATTTTTCTCACCTATAAAAAAGGAGCAGTACTACTTCATAAAGTTGTTTTTATTACATGAAATAATACAAACTCATCTAAATAGTGCCAGAGTATTGCAGGCACTCTAACAATGTTTATTATCATTGAGATATAGTCATTTAGATCTAATGAACTAATTGAATATCACTTTGCCAAATAGGTGGGAAAGATTTTTATGGAATCCCTATGTGAAATTTTCAACTTGGTATGGAATACTTTTTTTTTTTTTAAGCCAACTCAAATGGTAAACTTTGTCTCATCTTGGGATGAGCTGTTAACGTCTGCATTAGTGACATTTTAACTCAAGTATGGAGTTAGCAGGTGTGAATTCTAAGTTTCTTATATGAAATTGTGTTTTGCAGGAGAGTGCATAGAAGGGCTGCGGGAGCATGACTATCTTCTGATTCATTCTTGCCGGCAGTGGACCACCATCACTGCCCATAGCCTGGAGGAGGGCCATTACGTCATTGGGCCAAAGATAGAGATTCCGGTACACTATGCAGGTAAGATTCCTCTCAAAGGGCAAGAAAAGGCGAAGAGAAGAAGGGGACTTGAACAGTTGATATTTTTTTTTTCCTTTACTTCACAATGGGAAAATGGGACTCTAAGAAAAATTAAGCACTTTTATGTGATTATCTATCAGTGAAAGTTCAGATGCATTTTGTTATTGATAGCTCTAATTAATGCAGCTGGATATTTATAAGACGAAAATTTTACAAACACAAAATTACTTCTCTGTAGCCTTGGAATTAAGATGAAGATGTGAGGCTACCCTCTGAGCTCCAAGCACTCCTATCTCTGAATAACTCTGTGCAGCTTGAACATTGCTTTTGTGAATGACTATGACGAAATGATTTCAGGAGGTGCCATTGCACAAATGGCCACTGAGTCTAGTTTGAAAGTATTGGCTTGGAAGTTCAGATACCTGAGTGGGTGTGTCCTCCTTTTCAAGGAGGCTTTCAGAACACAGACCCTGCGATGATCTCACTGCTCCAATTCCGTGGGGGTGGTAGCTGCCTTCTCACCTCTCTTTGAACTCCATTCAGTTCAACAATGCCCTTTAACTAATTTTTATTGAGCTCATTCTATAACCAGCACTGAGCTTGGGATATGTTTAGTGTTTTGAATAAACTCAATAGTGGTAGCTTATAAATGTTAAAAAAAAAAAAAAAAACAACCCTAGTATTGCTTTATATTTTGTTCTGGTGAGTATAGTTCATTATATAAAGAATCTTAATTTTTTTTCACTGTTATTGCTTGTTTTTTAAAAAGTCAATAGCAGAACATTTTAAACAATTGAGCATAAATTGTATAGCCCTAGACTAACTTTTTTTGGACTGGCCTCTACAATGCTGAAGAAGTTGTCTATTTAGAAAAGGGATCTTGGCAGAATCCCCACTGTTTAGAACAATAGTAATTTTTTTTTCAATATATAAGTGTTTTTTGAATGGGTGCTTTGGTACCCTTTTCAATTCATGGAAGTCTTTAATTGCTAATATGACTAAGGGATCACTAAGCCACTCAAAGATCCTTCTTATTCAAAATATTATAAGAAAGTGAGAATTTCTCTGGCCTTAATCTTGGTCCTTTAGGATATCTCCTAGTCCTATGAGTAGCTTTCATGAAAACAGAAAAACACTTGGGTGCCGAAGAGATTGCACTTGGGAGAAAGGAGCCAGGACAATGGACCAGTTTTCCTAGGTACAGAGAATGAGACAAACCCTCAAGGCTGCCTATTCTCTCTCCCTGTGGTTCCCACAGAAGGTGATTTTCCCATTATTTTCAGCAAGCTCAAATTCTGATTTCTTTGTAGAAAACCAAAAAGAAAAGTAAATGGTTATATTGCTTCGTCCACATCTATGATTTTACCTAATCTGCTGTATTCTTTTTATTAGCAGACTGCATAATTTTAGTCTTCCCCCCAAAATCATTGTGAATAGCTCTGCCAAATCGGTCTTCCCAAAGGATTGCTTTGGTTTGGTCACTTCCTCAGATCTCTGGAGACTTCCTGCTGCATTCGATTCTTGGCCTTGTTGGGTAATTCTCCCCAGAGTTCCAGGCTACTTCTCCAGCCTTTTCTACTCTGGAGAGTGAAGCTTCCTTTCTGGCTAGATTAGACATCCCACTGTGTCCTGAATACCTCGGACACTTTTCCATTTGTACCGTTATCCCCACTAGAGTGGACTCCCTCAGCCTTGCTGCTTCTCGGAGCCTGCCATTGGGTTGGGAGTGTGCAGGGGCTCTCCACTGCCCCATGGGGTCTCCCGATGTACTCACTGTGTCACATTCATTGGGCACATTTGGTCACTCTTCAGTTAACTTCTTCCTGTGTACACACGTTTTCACCAGTTGGACTATAGAGCCTTTAACAAGTTAAAGCATTTCTGAGAAACTCTTGCCTATCCCTTGAATTGGTACAGAAGTGATACACTTCTTTTTTTTTTTTTTAAAGAGAGAGTGAGAGAGGAGAGAGAGAGAGAGAGAGAATTTTTAATATTTATTTTTTAGTTCTCGGCGGACACAACATCTTTGTTGGTATGTGGTGCTGAGGATCGAACCTGGGCCGCACGCATGCCAGGCGAGCGCACTACCGCTTGAGCCACATCCCCAGCCCAGTGATACACTTCTTGATGGAGGTAGATGCTGGACCTAGGGATCCCAAACTTGGCTACAAGTGGAATCACCTAAGAGAGTTTTAGAAGACAGAGTCCTCACTCCAGAAGTTCTGGTTTAATAGGTCTGAAGTGTGGAACTAATTAAAGGATATTAAAAGCACCCCATGGTTAAAAAACGCAACCAAAGTTGGGAGTGGACATCCACAGTGGTGGCAGATGATAAATAAGATATCTCCAAACACCTAAAAATATTTGCAAATGTAATAATCGTCTTTGAACGTATGTTTTTGTACTCACAACCATTCAGTTTTCACTGGGAAGACAGAGATGGTACATTCAGCAATTTACTCTGTTTTTAAGGAAAATGATGATGAATAGAACTGGGAAACTGGGCATCCTGTTACAAATGATACATATTGTTTTTAACGAAATTGAGGTGCCAAGATTAAAATGAAATATGGACACTAGGATCACACCACTTTACATGAAAGCAGATAAAACCTATTAAAGAAAGAAAAACTTGAAATAGGTTCAAATGGTTTATGAGGTCATTTGCCATTAAGCAAAATAGAATGGATGGTCAGTGATGGCTCCTGAGCTGTCTGCCTGAATTGCTTCAGCAGGCCACTTAGGTAGAAGAAGTTTTGGGGTGCAGATAGGTAAGTGATCATTTTGTTTAGGGATATGACATCTAGAGATAACACCAAGAAAGTTCCTTTAGCAAAGTTTACAAAGACAAATTTAGTGACTTACTAGTTATTTTAAAAAATAAAAACAAATATTAGCTAGCCAATAAACAAGAGGGCATTGTAAAATTGAGACTTGTGAGTCTGGATGTGATCATTTCCAAAGTTATGTGACTCCACACACTGGGCACTACACACTGTTTTTGTTTGTTTGTTTTTCCTGAGATGATGTCTTGCTCTCTTGATCAGGCTGGTCTCAAACTCCTAGGCTCAAGGGATTCTCCTTTCTGAGCCTCCTGAGAATCTGGGACTACAGGTACGCATCACCATGTCCAGCTTGTAGTAGCATATATTTTGTTTTGAAGCATGTGCTTATTGTGAAGAAAAAGAACATGAAGTATGTTGTGGAGACCAAAAAACATCATTTATCTCTCTCTAGCTTACTTTTATCCATGCATATTTGACTAATTTGTCAGAAATTTCATCTAGGGTCGCTTCCCAGCTTTTGGCTAAGATCAAGTGTAGAAATTTCATCTGGGTTAAGATTAATCTTTCATTCTTTGAGGGAAATTAATAAATCGTTAATAATTAAAGTAGAGCCCACCAGCTTTAAAATCAAACAGCATAGGTTGATTTCCAGTTTTCTCATTTACTGTCTGTTTTACTTGAGGCAAGTTAACAGATCTCTTTAAATTTTATTTTCCTCATCTGTAAAGTGGGGATAATTATAGTGGCCTGCTCCTAAAGTGGTTATAAAGTATAAAAGAGATAATGAGTGTGAAACCCTTTTCAGAGTGCTTAGTACTTTTTATGTGCTCCCTAAATGTTAATGGTGACCATCATGATAATGCTACTAACAGAATGTTTCTAAAGATTTACCTCTTTATCTTGTATCACTAATTGAATTTCCTTCATTGAAGCCGGCTGAACAATGACATCCCTCAAAATTGTTTTGGTGGTTGTTGGTTTGTTTTCTTTCTGTTGTTTTGTTTTGCTTTGATTTTTAAAAAATCTCATTTTGACTTGCAATAGTGTGCTACCTTATATCACTTACCTAGTTATGCCCATTTTAGCATCATGTGGTCATGTTTGTTCTTTCTCTCCCTCTTCAACGCACAGATGGATGCACACACAGTATTTTCTCATGAATCATTTGAGAGTAGACAGCACGCATTCCCTAATACTTCACTGTGCATTTCCTCAGAGCAAGGATATCCTCTTATGTAACTCTTAGCAAATTCAGAACACTTAATACTTTAATCTACAGTCCATATTCCAGTTTTGTCAGTTGTCCCAACAGTGTCCCTTCTTGCATTTTCCCCTCCAGGACAGCATACAGCCTGGGACCATGTATCGTATTTCACTGTCACGTCTCTTTAGCCTACTTTAATCTGGAGCCGTTCCTCAGCTGTCTTTGTGTGTTGGGATTTAGACATTTTCTGAAGAGTGCAGGCAAGTTGTTTTATAGAATAGCCCTCACTTTGGGTCTCCCTTCTCCTTGTGATGCGTTTTAGGCTGTGCATTTTGGGCTGGATTACCGCGTACATGATGTGTCTCTCCCAGGAATTACAGTTTAGCACCAGGGATGTCCTTGTGTCCCTTGTTGGTGATGTCAGTTTTGATCACTTAGATTAAGTTGTTGTCTGATGGCTTTGGTTGTGTAATTGGCATTACTAGGGAGTTTGAGAGAGGATACTTCAAGACCCTATAAGTATCCTTGCTCCTTCTCTAAAACTTCCAGCCCCTCCTCCCTAACCTGATTCTGCAATTCTGTTGAAGATTTCTAATTTTGTTTTTACTTGAAGGTGGCAAAACATTTACTGCATCATTCTTTCTTATTTCTTAGCCTTCTTCCATGGAAAGGAAAAGCATTTCTTTCCTTCCCATTTGTTACTTACTTATCTGTTGTAATCAGCATGACATACAGATTCTGTGTTATTTGATGGGATTACAACATATTACTCTCCTAATTTATATTAGCGCCCATATTGTCCCAGATTTGTGCATTGGGGTATGAGCTAGTATTTTTATCTCCCTTGTCTTTTTCAGGTATACCCTTGTCTTCTGGTGTGGGTAACAAGCATTCTTCTCAGTCAGTATACTGTTTGAGTCAGGGCTGCAACATCATTCTGTTCCAGGCAGTGCTTCTCACTTTGTGGTTTTGTAGATAGAGTCCCATGGAGTTGGGCAGTGCACAGCCTG